AGGGCCCTTGGCGCGACGTGTGGGCCTGTAGTACCCCACATGCAAGTCATTGGGCCGGTAGTACCAAACGGCTAAACTTTGGGCGGCCAAAACCGTTTTGGCGCGGGCGCCTTCTACCGATTATCCCCGATGCTAACCTTCTCTCCGCTCAACCAACACTACACCGGTATTTGCCCACCATGAACCATTCCAGAATTGCCGACGCCGTCCTGACTCCCGATGACAGCTGCACCTGGGACGGCCATCTGAGGAGCTCAGGGGCGGTTCCCATCGTGGGCCACAAATCACCGCCCAACGCACCCATGATACCCGAACCGGACATAGCGGAGTCACTGTGGACCATGCTGCCTCTAACCGCGCTACCCACACCGGATATACAGCAGCCTTTATGATGGAGGATTCCGAAGCTAATCGACTCCCACAGTTTCGTTCTTTCCTTCGCCCACTGACACTACGCTCTCTGGTCACTCCTTGTGGCATGCACTGTTTTGACCCAGTCCAGGTTTACCGAAGGCTCAACCTCGTCAATGCTTCCCGCCATTTTTGCGCAGAGGGCGTTGCCGAGCCAGCCAGGGCGCAAAAATGACAGGAAAAGCCATTCAGGGGCCCCTGCCACACCGTGAATGCAAAGGTAGTCACCACGGGGAGGTTTTATAACTTTTCTCCCAAAAAAATGAATAAAACTGCAAAAGCTAGGGAGCGTGTGAAAGTTACTCATGCTAAGACAGTGTGAATGGTGTACGTACTTCGCCAGCATGGGAGGCGCACTGACTCGTGCTTTGCAGACGTGAAAGGTGCACGTGCTCCTCGGACGCACGTGAAAGAGGAGCACGTGCTGGAGCGTGCACCATGGAACGCTCCTCGCAGCATGGCACCCTTGGGGAAGGTGTTTTCCAGTGGCGGCAAATCTCATAACAAATCACAGGAAGTAGCAGAGCCGAAGAAAACTAATGGGTGTTTCTTGCTGTTGACCGAGGGCAAGATCGGGGTCTCACTGCCTGCTTGCTCAAGGTAGTCTTTTGGCTCATACTACGTTTAAATTGGAACGATACAGAGAAGATAGATTAGCATGCATGGCCCCTGCGATTCCAAGGATGACACGCATAAATCGAGAAATGGTCCAAATAAATTAAATGTGTGCCTGCTCAAGGTGCACTCTTCGCTTCCACGTTCCTCCTTGAAAGAGAGAACTCGTCAGTTTGTCCATGACTACCCATCCTTGAAATAGCCCAACGTGGGCAAGAGGTGCTATGTTACAACCATGGCACCGGCCGGCATATCTATCACGCCATTTGTGGACAGAGGAACGTATCACACCGCTAACGTCAATATTATGTTCATCACAAAAGTAGACGCCACAGGCATTCTTGAGATTTTCCCTTCTGCCAGCTTCAACCGGATAGAACGCATCGACTTTGCAACGGTATTTCGGTACCTTTCAGTGCAAATACATTTATAAAGACGACGCGTTCGATCTGGCTGAGAGCAGTAATGGGAACTCGGTTTCCAGCGAGCAGGCAGAGAAAATTCATAACTCCATGTGCACTACGTTAACCGTATCGACTTCCTCCTCTTAATAGTTCCGTCTTTGCAAAGAGAAGAACTGATGGAATCAGATAACAAACGAGACAACATTTCCGAATTACATGGGGCCGGTCAGCTCAGTGACGATATCTCAAGGCCGTCAGGAAAGCACGGGGAGAGAGGAGATTTCACCAAAAACACATACACGGGAGTCACAAACATGAGTATAATAGCACTACGGGCCAAGATACAGTCTCCAATTGCAGTTCGGGCAACGTACAGTAGTTGTATACAAGCCCACTTTTTGGCCAGGTAGGGAGCCCGAGAGGAATTGGAATCCGTATCTTGCCCCATAGTGCATAACTCGTTTTTTGCAACTCGATTGAAATTAACACCCCCCAACAAAGAGCCGAGATGTGGCATAGCGCTTTTCATGCACGATTGACAAGATGGAGACAAAAGGAAGGAACCGCGTGTAAGGCTGAGAACGGGGCATCATGGATGGATCAGGGTAGGGAAAGCGAAACGTCTCAACGAAAACACCTCTCCACAGTGTCGCCATGATCTGATTGCAATTTATGAAAACACAATGATCTTCAATATAAATCTCCTCCCTCGTCAGACAAATACCCAGCCCTCTTTCATTTCCATTTTCGTTTTTTTAATTTTTCCGACACATCATCGACCTGGACGGGACACCCCGCTGACCGACTCCCCAGCAGCCCCGCTCATACATCACTACGCAAATCATTGACGATGACGGAATTTATCACGGACACATTAGCGTAGCACATTTGTACTCCAGTGACACGCAGTCTATTGTTMGCTACAGACAATGGCATGACCAACTGTCTATAGTTATAGCTACAGACAACGGCATGACCAAATTTTGCCCCATACGTCTCTTAGGGCGCAATAGCACTACCTTCTTCACCCGCATACAACGGACGGGCATCCCAGTTGTATATAACGCATCTTTCAGTCTAGATACAGCAATAATGTCCGTGCCTCAGGTGAACACCTCTTCGACTTCATTCATGACCTAACTGTAATCATTGTTCAGAACATTGTGCGAGTAATACCGCCGAGTATACTCCTAAACCACCAATACTTCCTGAATCATGCCGGATATCAGCTGCGATCCTCGGAAACGTAAGGGTCACTACAGGAGCGCCCAGATTCATCCGACAAGTTTCTACTACTTTTTCTCCATGGCCGATTGCTGGGCCGAGTACTGACGCCAATGCTTTGCGATACAAATGAGCAGTCAGAGAACAACAGACTCCCACAACCAGAGTTCAAGTTCCACAGTCCCCGAGTTCATCTGCTCCTAAATCATTCCGCGATGTCTTCGCTACAGTCACTCGAAGAAGACAGCGAGCAACCAACGCACTCCTCATAGCAGTGTGATGTCCCGGGCTCCACCTCCTCGTACATTCGCCGCAGGCCCGCAGCCACTTCAGATTTGAAATTCCCCCCCAAAAACATCGTCTCTTTCTCGGACAGCAAACTTCCATAGCCGCGGCTCACTACACGTRCTGGCCATACCTTCCTGACATCCCGTTCCCCTCTCCGCATGCACTGTCAAATTGATGCCCCTCTCCCGCAATTTCWKAGCGCTTTCCTCCACAGATACGTAGTCTGAATCACTCGTCAACTCCAAGGAACCACGTACAACGTGGTCTGCGTTTCCCCGTCACCTCCGAGGACCCATGCCCCTCCTCAATTCTACATGTTCTCGTGCTTCTCAGGCAGTAGCCGCAGCCGCTCCCCGCTATCACGAGTATCTCTCACACATACCTCCACAGCGGCTACCTTTTCTCCTTCGCTAGCAGGCCAGCTTACCACCTTACTTCTATTCCAGTACGCAGCCTTTCACTCCTGAGATTGTCCGKMGCCTGTCTTCTCCTTGATGGCCTCCGTAGCGGATTTCGCCTTCTCCTGTACGCTTTCCATCGCCGACCTCGCCGACTCTTGGACAGCATGCATCGCGCTGGCTGTCTGCTCMCTGTACTCCGCGTTTGTCTCCGCCAACGCCTCCTTGGCCAGCTCAATATTTTCAGCCACCGACCCCTTCGCTCCCTCGTACCTCTCTTGGGTTCCTTCTTTGGCCGCCTGGGACTTCTCTGCCGCCATCTCCTTGGCCGCTTGTGTCTTCTCCGCCGCCGTCTGCTTGGCTGCCTCCGTCTTCTCCGCTGCCGCCTCCTTCAGCTCCTGCGTCTTYTGCGCCGCCATCTCCTTCACGGMSTGCGTCTTCTGCGCCGCCGTCTCCTTCAGTTCCTCATACTTCTCCCGAGCGGCCTCGCCGATCTGTCCCGCCCCAGAACGAGCCTTCTCCGACGCCATTTCCCTGGCCGTTTCCCTCGACTTTCACTACCCGAAAGTTTCACTAACCAAACCGACAAATGAAACGACGCTCTCCACTTACACTGCAATTGTCGAGCGAGCGACAACTCTCTGCACACACCTCTCCCTTACTCTCTTTTTTCCCACAGAGAAGCCGATCAAATTCTTCCTAATCCAAAGCTGAAAGGTCACAGCGGAGAGCGATGATCCCGAAGGAGACGGTGGACATTTATACGATCAACTCCGTTWTCTGATGCCCTCATCCACGTCGCGCATCGCAAGACCAGCAAACACCAGGATGTCGCACGCGCTGCTGCAGCACATCTGAGAACGATTCCCGCTCGCGCTTGCTTCGAAGCGAGAGAGGCTACACTATACTTATACCTGATAGAGGTACAGTACCGGTGTTAATTTTTGTTGATGTTCTGGATGTTTCCCGCTGGCTCACGATGCCCCGGAAGTGTTGTGGCTGCTACGGGGTTCCATGTGATACTACAATGATAAAAAGAAAGGCCTGGAAGGCCGTGCAGTCCAGATTTGACAGGTAATTGAATTGGTTGGGCTTAAAAGAATTAGCCCCTATCAGTTGAGATATATGTCAAAATGCCCCTAAAGATTGTGGGTAGAGTGGAATGCCCTTTTGGGCCTTTGCGTTTGCCACTGCCAGGCCCGTGTGCAAATTTGCAATCTGGACCGCGTCGATGGGGCCTGGGCCTGTTCCCTGTTTTACCCGGTTCATCCTCCGTGGGTAACTTTGCTCAATACCCAGGCCCATAGGCACGGGACGTGACAGCAGTTTGCCTCCCTGATTCAAACTTTGGCTGTGTTCGCCAGCTTTGCCCTGGACGTGACAGCAGTTTGCCTCCCTGATTCAAGCTTGCCCATCTCCTTCTCCTACTAGGCTACTCCCCTGCCGTTCCTCCAAGTTCTCCTCGTTTGCCATCTCCGACATCCTCCTGCCCGCTGCTCCTTCAAACTTTCTCTCTCTCTCTCTCTCTCTCTCTCTCTCTCTCTCTCTCTTTCTCTGTGTGTGTGTGTGTGTGTGTGTGTGTGTCAGCACAACTGCTGAGACGACAGCGTCTTCCCCCCAATAGAACGCACGCCCAGTATCTGTCTRTCCAGACAGAAAGTTTCTCCAAAAGATTACAGCCATAATGGCGGTGCCTTCTCTTCAACATGCGTTTTTTTTGGAGGCAAGTTCAGGCAACGGCCAGGGGGCAAAACGCAAAGATGACCTGGGGCCTGGGCCAGTAGGGGTAAAAGGAAAATAAATAGGGCCTGGGAAAAGCAGGCAAGTACCGGGATATTGTGCAGAGATGGACAGTTCCCGGTAGGGGTATTCTGCAAAGATGGCAGGTCCAACCCACGACAGTGGCATTCCGCACAACATTTCGTGTGTCAGAGGGTATTCTGCTCTACCCACATCTTTGTGTGTCCACGCGCGCACGAGMGAGTGTGCGTGTGTGCACCCACGTGCGTGAGTCTGTCTGCGTGTGCGCGCCCGCGTGAGTGTGTGTGTGTGTGTGTGTGTGTGTGTGTGTGTGTGTGTGTGTGTGTGTATGTCCGTGTGTGTCTGTGCACGTTTTTTTTTTTCAATCAATCAGTCAATCACTCTGATTTATTTTTATTTTTTTACAAAATCTATCTATCAATCAATCAATCAATCAATCAATCTAACAATCCCAATCAATCAATCAATCTACCTAGCAATCAATCAATCAATCAATATTTTAAGGGCATCTCATCCCCCCCCCCCTCCCCCCCGAAAAAAACAAAACATCAACAGGGTCGGCGAGGGTCCATTTTATTATTTTTTTGTAATCTTTGAAGATCATTTGGCCCTAGCGGCCCCTTGCACCTCCCCCCTCCCAACTTTCCCGTTCCCAGGGGGGTCCTGGAAGGCCCCGAAAACCCCGTGAACAGCCGTTTATGGGTACAGGGTCCCGTGACTGGCAATCACTGAACGTGTCAGCCACCGGTCACGCTGCAGACACTGTTTTCCACCACTGCGCTCGTCGCGGAGCGGAACACAAGCGGGCAAACGGAGTGGAGCGGCGCAGAGACGAGCATGGAAAGGTTGCGGATCCGGGGGGAGGGGGGGGAAGGAGGCCGGGGCACTGCAGCATGGCGATGGTACAGGGGCTGAGGGGCAGGAATCTGTGCCTGTCTCTGTGTGTGTGTGTGTGTGTGTGTGTGTGTGTGTGTGTGTGTGTGTGTGTGTGTGTGTGTGTGTGTGTCCCAACTTCGCGGGTTACCGAATTCAAATCAGTTCCAGGGGGGACCTGTGTCCAGGGCAGACCCTGGACGACAGGCCCCATTTCTCACTCCCCAGGGTCTGTGCCAGGGGCCCTACCGGGCCCTCCGGTGTGCCTAAACTGCAGTTTCAAACTCCGCAGTGCTACTTTTCTGTAAAGCACAGTTTCGACTGCATTATAAACTTCCTACCACTTTCCATACCTTTGAAGAAATTCCAGGCTCCAGCCATTATAAACTTCCTCCCACTTTCTGCAAAGCAAAGTTTCGACTGCTTTTCATACGCTACAACCCCAGATTTTTTATTTATTTTTTGGTGTATTCGTTTTTTTTTTTTAATATGACAATTTCTCGGCCACGCCTGACCGCCGGGCCGTGGCCGGCGGACRGGATCCGGACAGCAATCCAAGTTTGAGCCCACGGTCATGACCGGGGGGATTCATAGCAGCCAGGCACACACAGACTCTGAGAGAGAGAGAGAGAGAGAGAGAGAGAGAGAGAGAGAGAGAGAGAGAGAGAGAGAGAGAGAGAGAGAGAGAGAGAGCTCCGGCTTGCTGAGTTTGGCCAACTCTTCTCGCGGTCATCAGTGGCACTGAGACACGAGGACAGGATTCGGCGGCATGGTACGTAGGCTAGACCAGGCATTAGGATAGGCAGGCATACCCAGGGAAGAGTCAAGATCATCTAATGCTGTATTGATTGTTGGGCACCGATAATCGGGCTTTCATAATCAAACCACCAGTTCATACAAGCCRAAGTTCACTAAGCTACCTCCCAAGTCCCTAGTCTCCTTTGTATTGGTGTCATTTTTGTGGGGATTTCCAGCTGCTGGAAAATGGGTGCAGCGTCCCATATTGACACAAACCAGGGCCATTATTCGGCTGCGGTGTCGAGCGCATTGGTCCTGCAGGGGGCACCCTCCCGGCCGAGTCATGCAGGATTTGGTTATTCGCGATACAAACTTCGCATTGGAGCTTGCCTAGCCGCTCCGACCGAGTGCGCCAGCCTATGTGACGCCCGCGGCCTAGGCCGCGGGCGTTTCGGCCGCTGCGGTCGAGCACCTCGGCCGCGGCCACCTATGAATACCCCCCGGCGGCGGACAGGTGGGCCGAGTCCGCGAGGCCACGGACGCGTCCGCGCGTCCGCGCGGCTTTGGCGCCACGTGGCAGCCAGAGGGGAGGGGGTCTCATGATTCGGGAACCGCCATTTGGCGGCGCAACCCCTGCTCCACCCCCCCACACAAGAAAAAATGGACAAAAAGCATGTTTTGGTTGGGGGGGTTGGGCAGCGAACGACGAGAAATGAAAGAAAAAAAAAATGAACGCGTTTTTTTTTTTTTTTTTTTCCGTTGATTGATTGATTAATTGATTGATTGGTGGGTTCGGGGTCGCCCCGCCCCGCGATTGATTGATTGATTGATTGATTGATTGATTGATTGATTTTTTTGATTTTGCTTTTTTTTTATTGATTGATTAATTGATTGATTGA